TCCTAAACAAATTTTCAAGGTAGTAGACCAGGAAGGCACCTGATCCTCAATAATAAATTTGTTTTTGGGTCCTCAATTGTGAAAAGTTTTTTCCACTGGAAAAATTGCTCATGGAATCTTCCTTTACTTAGGAAGCCATGGAAGCTGAGGAAGAAGCTGAAAGCTTGGGGCTTCTCTTGAGCTGAAGATCTGAGGCTGCAAAGCAAAAGGATAGTGAATACTACAATCAATTACAAAAGATCCCTCACCAGGAATCCAGATTTGTTTTGGTGATAGTTTATTATAGAGGACCTCCTGTTTGTTTGAGGGAGGGGGGGGGGCCCTATTTACTAATCAGGATCCAACATTATGCTGGTTTCCAACCATCACGAGCTGAAGCTACATTGTAGATCTTCAAAGGTCAGTAACAACTTCGCCGGCCACTTCGACCATCGAAGGTCAAGCTCCGCCACTTGGCTGCCACGCCGACGCCCACAGAGCTGCGCTTCTACCGCGCCGCAGTGCGCGAGCAGATGCTATGCTGTGAAGGGCCGGGGCTTGTTTGGGGGAAAGACTTCAAAGAGGTATGCCCTGTGGAAGAGGTTTGGATGTTGTGGGGAATTAGGGGATGTTGCTTGGAAGCAAGTCTGGGAAACAAAGAGCCAAGTAGGATAAACATTAAAACTTGACACATTCAAATAACTGATACACCTCACGTACTTTAGTGGCTACTTGCAACAATGACTGATATCAGCATCCCATCTATGCCTGAAGCTCGGGTGGGGGTTGGGGTTGCTTAGTTTGCGTTTTGCATCGTTCCCGCCCTGATTTGCTCCCATTTTGCGTGTGTGTTGCAGCTGGTTTGACATGTTTCTTCGCCCGTTTCGCGGCCCAAAATATCACATGCTCCGTCTTTCAGTGTTTGATGCCAGGTGCGTTCATCCATCTCTTGGTGTGGTGATCCAGGTAGCCATTGTCCAGTGTTTTTTGCATTAGAAAAAAACACCTTCGACGGAGCGGGATTTCCCCTGAACAACTGTCCTGATAGAAACAAAGGCCCCAACTTGAAAACACAACCCTTCTCTCTCTCTCTCTCTTCGTGCAATGCATTCCCTTACCAGGCCTTCCTGTATCAGTAACAGTTCACTTCAGAACATGTCAAGACAGTACACCTCTTTTCTTTTAGAAACGCCGACCAACGCCAACAGTTCATCCTCCAAGAATCGGAGCTCACTCCACGTCCGTTTCCGAGGATCAACAGCCTCCCCCCGGCCTCGGACTCCGATCCCCAGCCCGCGCTGCTGCCTCGGCGGCGGAGCAACTTATCGCAGTTGCCCCGTGCCTCGGTGGGGAGCCGGACAGGCGATGGAGCCCAAGGGCCCAACAGGGCGGGTGGGATAGTCCAGGGGTGTAGAAACGGTAGAATCAATAGAAACCACGAAAGGAAATCACCCAAAACTGGTGATTTCATTGAACTGACGATACAACCTATTTGTTGGATACCTCGCAAACGTTTGGGTCTCCGAAGGGCTTGCCGAGTCCTCTTTCACGCCCCAGCTGCTGTGGAGGTTGGGTAGGTCAGCTTGAACAGACACTTCATAGAAAGAAGAGAAGAAATGGATCGATCAAAATAGGGCTCCAACTACAGTAGGTTTGCTTGGGCCAACCACTGGAACTCTGCAAAAGTACCATTAGAGTCGGAGAGAAATGATTGAAATCCTTGCAAACGTGACAAAAAAGAAAAACACAAGAAAAAGATACTGCAACAGCTACTGCAATATACTCCTCAATATAAGAATCAAACAGCGGTCAAAAAGTACTATACATATATTATATATATATATGCTAATATAATATATATATATAAGATCCTCACACATACGATTGGTGCACCTGTGTCATGTTTCTTCTCCCGCATATTTGATGCTAGTGTTTCTATGCACTATTCCATGTTTGTATCTTATATTATATTATCTTACCATGATTTTACTACAAATATATATGAAGAGTCGTCCGTTTCGAAGAGCCTAAGAAGAGACAACCACTGCCTTTTTTATGTTCGTTGTGTTCTGTGTTTAATCATAGACGTCGAATTCTGTAGTAATAGTATGTTCTTGTGAGTGTTCTTGTGATATTCCTTGTTTATGGCAGCTTCTAACCTATTCTAACCTTCATGTTGTGTGCTAATGTACGAGTAAGCTAGTTTCAGTTACCTTGCCCATGGAAACAGAGTAGACGTTCGTTGACTTTTCTTACGTCCGAGTGCGTTTGCAGTGCTGGGGGGCATTTTGAGTACCTCTCAGGCACATGATTTTTTTGGCCACACTGCTGCGCGTGGTCCGTTTGCTCGAGCGGGCTGCAGGTGCTGGCCCAGTGCAGGCTTTGCCGATGATGTCAATGTCGAGTCCAAAGCCAGACTCAGGCAGTGATGAGTTCAACCTGGGCGAGCTCCGCTTTTAGGTGAGAGATGTAGGGTGTAGGGATGCATCGAATCATTCACAAATATTCACAAACGTCACAGCCTATAGGAGACTTTTCTGGTCGGCCCAGAGTGCAATACGGACGGAGAGATTCATCCCGGACGGAGAGATTCATCCGATGGCGAGCCGCATCGCGCAACTCTGTAACCGTCTCAGAAGGGATCCCTCTTCACTTCTCAGCCATCAATTGAAGGCAATCCGTTTCTTTCGTGATACACTTTCACCTGGGACGCCCCCCCCCGCACGTCGTCCACGGGAGGCATGTTGAACGGCCACGGAGGGGGCGTGGGGCCCAACTGCCAATCTTCAGAGCCTGTGGCATTGCTCAAGGATCCGGCTGAAGGGACCCCGGCGGAGGTGGCGAAAGGAACCCGGGCACACCTGGGAAAACGTTGCTGAGGTGACATTCCAAGAAGAGACTGAAAGTCAGGGGCAGGAGTCTTGAGATCTTGCATCTTTTTGTCTCCTAGTAGTAGTAGTAGTAGTAGTAGTAGTAGTCGTAGTAGTCGTAGTAGTAGTCGTAGTGGTAGTCGTAGTGGTAGTCGTAGTGGTAGTCGTAGTAGTAGTAGTAGTAGTAGGAGGAGTAGGAGTAGGAGTAGGAGTAGCAGTAGCAGTAGCAGTAGCAGTAGCAGTAGTAGGTATGGCCAGTTTGAACCACCAGCAAGCAGGTTCCTTTCGTGCTGTCCACACTGGGTGTGCAGGTATGGTCCAGCTCACAGCTGACAGTCGGGGCATTGAGGGCTCAATTCTTGGACAGACTGACAGATCCACCAGTTTTGAGGTGCGTGATTGGCATGCACACTAAGAATCGGTTTTTGAATGTGTTTGAGTTGGTGAAAGGTCAAGAACCATGCGGGCCATAGATATATCAAAATCTGGCTCTTTGTTGATGGGACCATCCCTATTCCAGCATTTTGACAAAAATGAAGTTGAACGGCATTTTTTGACAGGCCGCCGACAGGTCATTTGCCCTGCTACGCGTATACTAATGTTCAACTCAAGCATGGGACAATGCACTCTCAGAGAGGGGATGTATTTATTTCTTTTGTCCCCAAGGTCGCAGCTAGTTTCTCAGATATTCCACAACGTTTGCACATTGCTCAACCCCTGAACCGCTGGTACTGCTCGTGGAGGACAATTTGGGCGATGGCAACGACGTGCCTCCTCCCATGGAATTCCCCAAATCCACTCGGGTGCGCAAAGGGGTGTGAAAGAGCGTGAGATGCAGTGCCAGACAGAACCTTGAGAATGGTCTAGAGTCTTAAGCGGTTGGAATTTAGAGGGGACTAGTGGAGACTGGAAGCAGAGAAACAAGACAAAGAATGGCGCTCAGGCTCACCAAGAGAGGCAACCAAAAGGTATCATAAGCAAGCATCTAAGCACGTTGTCCTAGTAGCGTCCCTTGCTCCTAGTAGCGAGGCCAGGAGCCCCTAGTAGCGTCCTGCTCCTAGTAGCTATGCATCTAAGCACGTTGTCCTAGCAGATCACAGAGACAGATAGATCTGGGAGAATTCGCCCTCTCATGATATGATTCTCATGTGCCCTGTTGGTTGGACGACTAGGGCCAGTGTGGCTCATGTGGGTCAGTGTGGGGTCAAAAGTAAGACTTGCATCATTGGAGGCATTGACTATGTCTTGCTAAGGTGTTGGCACCTATACAGCCTATATACAGTATACCCATACACAAAACACATAGTCATGGCACGCCTATTCACCTTGCTGATGAAGGTTGTAGGACAGTCTCCATGTAGATGTTTGCCAGTTTGCTAAATACAGTTGGTGGAGATCCTGAACCAGTAGACACGCACTTCGAACAAATAGTCTTGAAAATTCTTTGGAAAGGCAGGTTGGGTTGGCATGGTTTCTCAGGAATTTGGTGATTTACTTGCATAGCTACTAGGAGCAGGACGCTACTAGGGGCTCCTGGCCTTACTGCTAGGAGCAGGACACCACTAGGGGCTCCTGGCCTCGCTACTAGGAGCAAGGGACGCTATTATGTGCAGCCATGTAGATTTGCTCCGTTCAGGTGGCTCTCGGGGAAGTGGGCGGTCGGCAGCTGGCTCCAGAGCGGGAGCTGGGCTCGCAGCGGCACGGGCATGGGGGAAATTGCTGTCTCAAATTGCCTCCAAGAAAAGGATGAAATGGAATGGATGGGGAAGTGCCGAGACATTCCAAGAGGAGAGTTTTAGGGTCTCCAACTGTCGAGACATGTCAAAGTATTAGCAACGTGGTAGTAGTGTTTCAGATTTCTTCTTCCCAAGACAGTGGATATATATATAATATGATATATGTGGATTTCTAAGGTAAAACTTGCTTGATTTGTTTTGATCGCATATAATATGTATCAACGAGGTGTGGATCTCTATTCAAACACACAGTGGCACACACGATGTGTGTGATATTCCTTATTCATCCTTATTCCTTTTGTGTCCACATCTGGGTGGCAGCTGGACCGGGTGCGACCTGGGCCGGTTGAACGGGTAGGACCGATCGCATATTTGAGGCTGGCGGGTGCAATGGGAAGGACTGTGGGAGGAGCCATGTAGAGACCCACATGGTCGAAGAACCACTCAAAATGCTAAGAATCATGATTCATGATGAATGATTATGAATGGATGTTTGGTCTCAGGTGCTGCACATGAATATTGGAACCTGTTTCGTCAGGGCACATACCCGTGTTCCTGTATAGTCCAATATTATCTTGCACCATCTTGAACCAGTGTTCAATCAGCATGAGAAGCCATGCTCACCAAAGAGCTACTTTGCCTACTGAGAGCGCCGACTTTGATGACAGAACCACGAAGCTAGAAGGTGGATACACACTATAATGATGTATGTGTGTGTATATTGTATATACTGTAACTAGTCTTTGGTCCTGCTGAGGTTCATGGCTTCTGCTGTCAACCCTGAAACCTTGATGTCCACCAAACCTTGGTGTGGCTACTATTATTTGCACACCCCTTGCACCCAGGCATGCCCAGGCTGTTACTACTGGATGCGAGAGAGAAAGGTGACTCGTGACACTCTGAAGACAAAGACTTGAGACTTTATGCAAAGACGAACTAAATGTGAATATACTGTATGTATTTAGATATATATATATACATATGTCATGTGAGGATTGAAGGATCAGTCCACCCGTTGTTTTCCAACACCGGCATTCCACAAAAGTGTTTATTGGTGGTCAAATATTGATGGTAATCAACTCAATCTCTTGCGAATCTGGAATCTTATTGGACTCATAACTCATTGGTTTGTTTCAAGGAGTCCTTGAATTTGCTCTGCCCAGTGCTTGCGCCAGGTCCAATGTGCAAGTGACTCGTGGCTCGCAGCTAAATAGCTTGATCTAGAAAGAAGAGAAGGCTAAATAGCTGATGATGCTGATGACGTTACGTTCTCAGACTGTGCTCACCAGAAGTTTGTTGGATGGCAAGATGCCACTCCACGAGAATAGGACAAGGCCAATGGCTCCGTGCAAAAGATGCTGCGCAACACGGATGCATGAGAAACCCACCACCCCTGACGATTCCTCAGGTTTAGTTTGGACATAGTATCGTTACAATACTTAGTAGTGTAATTACACTTTCTTTCAACAACATGTAAAGTCCGGCTAGAGCAGAGGGAGTGTGTCGCGTTTGCAGACAGCGACATTCGCAGAAATCTAGTTGCAGACCGTTGGGGTATTGTTCTAGGATGATCGACTCGATTTGATGAGCAGCTTCTTGCACCTGAAATCGTGTAAGGATACCAAATGCAACAGGTACATTCCGGAATATACCCTATGGGCCTACAGGTCATCCAAGAATCAATCGAACAGTTTGCCTGAGATGTCTACCTGCTGCAAAGTTGATATACAATTTACTGTACTGTAAATCGATTTAATGATTGGGTCTGCGATTTTGGCTCAGGCAGGGAGTATTACTCTAGTTAAAATGTGATGTGTTTATTCTGCACTTTGAGGCTTAATAGTCCAATGTTGGAAGCCACGCCAGAGGACTTTTTGGAAGCGCAGGGCAAGAGAAACCTCAGTTCAAGATGTTCAAGCTGATATTTACATAGGACAAACCATTCATTAGTGCTTGTGGGCAGGCTGTTTGCCGACTTGTCCTAGCATTCAATTGCATTTTGGAGCTGAGAACATGCTTGGCTTTTGCATGTTAAATCACATTAAACAACTTTTTCCAGAGAAGATCCACAGGGTTCAAGGGATTAGGCGGTTTCGAAAGCCAGCCATTTTTGCCTGCCATGGAATCCATGGAAGGGATACAGCCGCTTTCTCTGGAAGATGGCAACTCTAGATGTTGCCCTCCAGCTGCGTGGCAACATTGGGCGGACTTTGCGACAGTCCGCGTGGCCCGGGGGAGGTTCATGACTTTGTGATCACGTTGACATTTGTTTGGAGGGGCAGTACTTTTTGTGCTCAGAGCACGAACTATGCTAGATTCCTACCAGGCTGTCCTTCTCAAATCAAACAAGTCGCCTTCCAATAGCCTTGAAATGTACTCATGATTGAAACCTTAGGAACCATTCTATGCTAGAATGGACCCCAGGCCATGCTAGAAACCTCAACCCGCATTGGGATCAGGTCCGATGCCAAGAATCACTCAATAGCTGCCACCTGCAGTAAAACTGCATGCACACCAAAAATCAAACTCGCACAAGATTGCCAATGCTCCGCAAGTTCTTGCAATGTAGCTGCTTGGCTGGCCTCTCGTTTTGCCCAGGCTGACGCCCCAAGCATGGGCTGGCGGCAACTCCGCAACGGTCGCACACTGAGGCGTGTGGTTCAAGGGGTCGTGGTGGGGTTCAAGATAAAATTGAAGGAGAGCTAATGTACTATACAGTACATGCTGTCCATCTTTTAGCTTTTTTTTGGGGGTGTGCACTTGGTGACATTTGTTCCAAGCCGGTAATTGCGACATCCAGCTCACACTTTCGGAAGGTGGTGAAAGTGCTAGGAAGTGACAGGAATTGGTCAACAGTTGGTCTATTGGCCTTGGAATCACTTGTTGGCATTTCGGAGTGTTCTTCTTCTGTCCAACAGAAGATTGCACATGAAAATCGTCTTTTTGAGGCACTTCTTAAAGCTTATTTCAGGTTCATCCGATCGCTGGTCATCGTCCAACCAGCATCAATCCAGGTCGGCTTGACTCGTCATAGAACATAAGACTTTTTAGTGAGAAGAGCTCGCCAAAGATCCAATGGTCCGCGCTAGTATGTTGTTCTGTTTCAAGCTCTTCGATAGTTATCATTGCTTCGTCAAGGCAAGGTATGCTACTGACGCAGGACCCTTCCTTAACGCCTTTTCTGAATGAGGGATACGAGAGATCGGATAACTTCCCTCTCCTTTGGAGTTCAATTATATTCAACTATTTTCTCATATCTGCTGTAACAAATGGGGGGTCACTCCCTGTAATTTTTGTTTCACCCCGCGCCCCACCCCCCATTTGTAAGACATCTAAGTTGGATCTCAGGGTTTGTTCGGTCGACAGTGCTCCTGAGCCATGTAAGCTTCAATGTTCTGATTGATGGTCCCCCTAATTTCAACATCACAAAGAGACAGACAAGTCAAGACACAGAGTTTGAAAAAACACACGTACGTCGCAGCAAGGTATACCATGAACTCTCGATAGACCACAAAAAACAGTCAAGAAGAGCTACAGCTAAAGTACCAATCCCTTAATTTGAGCGCTAGAGCCACTGGCACGCATGTTGCAACGGTGTGGAGCAACCTGGCCAGGCCTCTTTTGCTATTTTTCCTGTTGCCCTTTGCTGGAACAGCCTGGCTTGGGCGCAAGGACAGCGCATGGACACCCTCTGGAAAGTGCCACTTAGTCTCAGCCTAGCCGCCCTCTCATCAACAAGTGCCAGCAGATCAATTGTTGGGCAGCTGGTTTTGTTGCTGGTGATCAAACTGTGTGAGCCAACATACGGGTGTCCACCCAAGAGGAGGACAAAAAACTGTGGAATTGGGATGAATTGGGTAACATCACCTATTTGACAACTAGTTGTGTTCATGTTGGCTCTGGAACCCCAAGTCGTCACCCGTCATGTGTTGGTTCCCCTTCACCGGACAGTGTCCTCTTTGACTCAGACCGGAAGGAGGAGATGTGTGAACTTGTGGTGTCTCCGGTTTTTTCTTTGGGTCTGGTCGGTATGGTTCTCCTATGGCGAGGACCGTGAGGAGGTATCGGAGAGCTCCATGCCGTTGGACGTGGACTTCGTGGAGCTCGAGGCGAGGAGGAGGGCGCAGCAAATCCGGCGGCGAAGAGTGGTTGACTGTGGCTCAAAGGAAATAACACCCAGGGACCCAAAACGACCCAAAGGTGTTGGTGTTGTTTTCATTTTACCAATGCCATGCCCCGATTTTGCCATCTAAGCATGCTGCCACGCTGAGTGTTTGTCGATTTGTGTGTTTTACTATTTTGTTGTTGACATACATGGAGTTCATATATAAACGATTATAAACGGTTGCAACAGTTGGTGAGAAATGTGGGGTCTAGTTTCGCTTCCAAGCTAAGCGCCTACAAATGCATCATGGAGGGCAGTGCAAATGCCTTTGGTTCATGATTCACTGATCAAGGTTCATGTGACAACGTTTGAAGACTACGCGCATCCTATTTTGTTCGACCAGTTTGGATTTGCATTGCGCACTTGGTGCTTTTTTTCAAGGGTGTTGGTGGTGAGGGTCGCTGTGTTGAGGTCCTATTAATAGTGGGAAGTTGCCATTTTGGGAGCCTGGCCTAGTGAGTTTCTTGAAGATCAAGAAGGTGGTCGGGGGCATGTCAGGTCCAAAAACATATCAAACAATGATCTGGGGCCAGGCCGGGCGAGGTTCCATTTGCCAGGTGGTTCTCGGTAGACAAGTGATGTCCATGACCAAACGGCTTGAAACCCAGACGGTGCTTGACCTCACTCCAGCGTTCGTTCACGAACAACGTCGCGAGCAAACGAGGTACCGGGCCCTGCTGGACGCTTTCAAGTCTCGAAGCTTTATGTCCCGCTTGCACCAGAGATCGTGCCTCGAGCGCATTAAGAAGCCGAGTCTCCTAGCCCATGCATGCATGTTTGGTAGGATTTGGCCGCTCAGGATGGGGTGAATCAGATTTAAAAGGACGTTCAGACATGAGGTTCGTTGTTCTTTTTAATATGAGGGATGAGGAGCAGATGTCTTGAGTCCTTGCAGAGTAAGACACTTGCAATCTGTTCTACGGCCTCTTTACTTTGATTGATTTTTGGTAGAGCGATTCCTGTGACTTCTTGCTGCCCTTCAAGCCCACCACCACTGTGCGGTAAGGGGTGTATGGGGAGCGTTCAGATACTGTGGAGCAAGTCGTGGTACCCATACCCTAGCCTTTCAGAACCATCTTGGATATGATTGACCTGGTTTTGTAGTGTAAAACTGTGTATATAAATGTATAGAACATGTCTATCTTTAGTACTCTTTGAATGCAGTAAAACACTAGGTTGTTCGGTAAGAATCATTGAATCAATGGCTGTTGGAATCCTTGGGCATGTAAAATTCACCAAACCTAGATTGACCTGCCAAAAGTGCCGTGCAAGTTTTGTTGAACAGATGACAACAATTCTTTTACGGATATCATTTTCAAGTCTTCCGTAAGAAGCAGCACGCCAAGAATTGCCCGACTTCACCATGGTGGCGCTAGAAAAACGACTCCTCTTTCTGATCTTTGATTGGTCTCAGAGGGCATGTAACCGACATGATGCTCTTGGAAACAATCGCAAGCAAGAAAACAGCTCTTCCAGTGGCACAAAAGGGTTGGCGCTACCTTTTTGCTGAGAGTGGTGAAACCTTTTCAGAAAGCACGGTCAAAACCTACATTTGGAGAGCAGCTGGGGTTTATTTGCAAACACGAAGCGCCACAGATGGCTACTCACCCAGAATACCATGTGCTTTGAAGGAGCGTTAATCGGCTTTGGTCATCCTTCATTTGCTTTAGCCTTGCAAATATCTGCGGTGACTAGCACGCTTGTTTCAAGAGCACAGAAGGTTGGACCTAGTGTACACATGTGTATACCATTGCCGTTGTCGAGCCCAACTCTGTTTGAGCCGCCGAGCTCACACCTCGGTCCAGGTGCGCTGGATGAACACTAGCGACTTGAAATTTAGCCGCTCAGACAGAACTCTAGGGAGGCGTTCGCATGTGTTGGCCATGGTCTCACTCAGCTCAGTCGAGCCGTTTGATCGGTCAATTGGCTGAGGTTGTTCCAAGGCCCTTCATCGCTGAGGAACGACAGAACAACACAAGCGTTCCATGCTACAGAAAGTCAGCTGTTCGACACGAGTTTCATTTAGTGGGGAGTTGAGTATAAGACACCTATCAGTGGTTCTACTGATTTTGGCAATCTCTCGTTCGAAACTGTTTGCGGTTTGTAACACCTTGCCCAACGAATCACAGCCTGGGCATCGTTTTTTTACGGTATGCAAGGTTTCCTATGAAAGCAGAACGGCCAGGAAAGGCAATTCTCACTGTTTTGTGTACTTGCGGGACCGTGCAGAACCAAATCGCATAGATTATTCTTCGCGAACAAAGATCCATAAAGATCTCCAAAAGTTAGTAATTGTTTGCTAGTATTTGCACGACAAGATACCCTTATTTGCGCCGTGAAGGTGCACTGGCTGTTTGCACCAAAATTACACTGTTCCACTCTGATGGTCCAACGGCTGCATCGATGCCGAGGTATCAGCATAGACACCACCTTGTTGACCCAACTACCCCGCATCCACGTGCTAGCAAAGGGAGAACCCTTGAGGCGGGACTGGAGAGGGAGGGTCACTCTATAATAAATATATATAAAATGAGATGTGCATGAAAGGAAAAGAAAGGCAACAATAAGCCAGAAGATGGCAGAAGATTTGCCTTTTAAGTCCACAGAGGTTGACAACCGATACTAATTGTTAATTCACAATCAGCTACCTTATCAAAGTTTGAACGTTTGTAGGTTGACAACCTGTAGCCGGCCTAATACACCAGCATCGTATGATATTGTATGCCTTCCAAATGAGTAAAAAAGAATAGGGTGGCTGTTGGCAACCTATGTGACCAGTTTAGTCAAAAATATACAAATGTGTTGAATATAGTTGAATCAAGTTTATGTAGATAAAACACAAAACAACAAGAATGAACACAGAAAGGGAAAGGGAAGAGAAGATCAGCCAAGTAGCAACAAACCAGGGATGGGAAAAGGATTCAGTGTTCAACATGAGAATTCTGGGGGAATGTTGGTTGTAGTTTTGCCATTGCCCACCAACTTTTGTGGAACGTGGTTTGGTTTAATGAGTGGAATTACATATGTTGATCCTCACTTGACATTGCCATTGCATGGAGAAAAGGTCAAAGGTTTAACGGTTTAACTGTGTATACAGTAATACACGAGGTGGGCAATCCCTCAAGCAATTTCATTCACCTTGAACGGGCTATCAGATTCATGCGAATCCGAACAGAACGCAAGCCAACGAGTGACACATCACCAGATGCCCAGTTCTGTTTCTGAAGCGCGGTAAAGCCACAGGGCTCCCTAGTGCCAGTCACGGGGTCCTTTGTCCCATCAAAGCCACTGCCCACTGCTGGCGCTCGAAATCCAGCAGCTTCAACGATCACTTGGATCAAGAAGGAAGGACCGGTGCCCAATGACCCCTTCAAAGTAAGGCTCTTGCAGTCTAACTTGGTGGATCGTCGTTAACACAGATCGGATGTTCCGCGGTCTAAACCTTGCTTGGAGCAACTAGCGTGTGGTGCCTTTTTCGGTCTGGAAAGGATCGGCAACCTGACCAGCGATGAGGGCCAGGACCTCACCGATATGTGGGTCCCGGATGGTGATTTGTTGGGGAGACTGCAAATCAAGGAAGTCATATGAAGTCATGATCCTTGCTCCTGACGGTGACGAGAGGATGTCCTAGATGATGTGTTGCTCCAGATCGGACGTGATTATGAGGAATTAGACCATGTTCTTGTGTGCTTTTGAATAGTTATTTTGTCGAGGGGGCACATTCAAAACATCCAGATGAGATCAGCACCGGGGTTTGCCCGTTAACAGTTAGGTCCTGTTTTCCGATTCGGTGTTTGGAAGAGAAAGTTGTGTGCGTGCTCTCTATAAATGATAACCCAGACAATCATATAGCTATATATTTATATGTATTTATGATGTTTGTTTCAGGTGTGTGGATGCTAGATGACTCACGCACGAACGGCACTCTGCTCGAAAAGGCCTGAAACTGGACTTAAGACTTAAGACGCACGTCCACATTTTGTGAACATCCTTTTGCGAGCTCATCATGCCTAGGCATCCACACCATCCTGGAGCTGCCAGAGAACGTAGACGCGAGGGCCTGCAAGGCCGGAATAGCTTGGCAGAAGAGCTTCGTTGTTTGCTCCGGAAAGGTCCAGTTGCCGCGCCCTCGATCGTCCATGCTGTGAAGAAACGCAGGTGCCAAGAGCAGCCATGAAGCAGGAGTAGTGACATCGTAGTGATGAAATGAGACAACAAAAAGGGTGGAGAATGCACCAAAGCCCTCCAAAGCATGAGCTTTAGCCAACCATGTCCTTGCAAAAGAACCTACGTTGTGATTGAAACCAGTCGCCCACTTTTGACTTATTTGTTGACTGTTTTAAGCCATTCAATCCTTGGAACCCCCAACCGATGGGTAAAGAAGGAGATAAGAAATAATTTGACCATACAGAGACCTTGAGACTTGTTGTTGAGCATGTGTGAGCCTATGAAAAATGGCTCATTTGGCTGATTCTAGACCTACATTGAACTTTTAAATGTACAACATGTGCATTCTCTTGGTTTTTGTGCCGGTGAGATGGTGAAACAAGCTTGTCAGGTGGCTGTGATCGTGGCTCTTGCTGGGGAGCACAGTGAAGGGTTGCCGGATGGATTGAGCCTGGTTGTTGCTCCAAGGACTCAAGGGTGACAGGAAATGGAAGGGAATGAGAACCAGGAAGACTCTCGGAGCACAACGAAGTGTGTAGACTGCGTTTCTGTTTGCGTACCTTCGAGAACTCACAAGCATGGTGCATGAACATATATGAACAACCGCATAATATGTTTTGGTCCTGTTTTGGTCATGTTTGACAGCAAGTTTGGGTGTGAATGGCCCATATACCATCGATGTTGGCTGAAGGATGGCTTCAAGGCAGTAAATATATATATATTGTCAATGCTCAGACCTTTTCAGACCTTGTTGGAACAGCTGGCAAACTGCATCACGACATGGGCATTGCCGCATGGTTCCAAATGAATGAAGACACATACACAAACTGAAAGAAACATACCGGAAAGGAATTCCAGAGCAATTGAATACCCCTTTCTTGTGCTCAGCACGATGTCTTTTGTACAGTCGTAGTCTAGCTGCTTCTCCACCCTCATCGGTCTATGTCGGCCTCATCGTCCTTGTCGCACGCATTGCTTCGAGGCTGATGTGGGTAACGGCGAAGCCACTCCGACAAAGGCGTTGTTGCTCATTTGCCAGGCCACGACAAACTACAATGGGTTATTTTGGGGGGGAGGGAGATCACCCCATACGACGACATCATTTGACCCTCACATTGATGATCAGTGCAGCCGCGCAGCAAGGTGTCCGCCCAGCAAGCCAAATGAGGTTGCAAGATGTTAGTTTTCATCGTGAGAATCCCAGCTCGGATGGTTTCTGGCGCTCAATCATCACCACCTTATGTAAAGACCTCTTGAGTTCCTGGTGTATTTCTCTTGGGATGCTGAGTATTGGCGACTTGACCTTCTTCCATTACTCTTTGGCCCAACAGTGGACAGGACACGGGCGCCGTTATATATAGAATTAAATGGCTTCATTCAGACAGAAAGGGTCCAGGAATTCCAGCCCTTCTGAGCACCGGTACATGTCAAGCATGCAAGACAAACTGCATATGAAACTGCAATGCATGGTGAAGCCAGGATGTTCCACGGCCGAAGAATCTTCCTCAGAGACTCAGAGACGACACAGCCCACAACACGCATCCATCCAACAACTAAAGACTAAACCACTACCCTCAGTGATCAGGCGAAGGACGTTCTCGTTGGCAGTCCTCAGAGACCCAGCGCCTCCGCTGTCCACTGCGCCATGGATTCAGAAGCCCTGAGCGGAACAAACTCCCAGAATCTCTTGAGAAAGGTGGGCTCAGCAGAAAATCCGTGGTGAACAGCTGATTCTTCAAATCCAGCAGTTGTTGCTGACTTCACAGTACAAGCCCAGGCAAAAGGAGTCGTGGTTTGCTGCGCAACTTTTCCGACTGATTCGTTGGTCTTCCGTTCTGAAATCAGCCATGTTGTTCCGTTGCATGTTTGGCTTTGACTTTTAGTGGAAGATGGTATGCCCTTTTTCTCAGAAAATATCCACAGAATCGACATAGTAAGTAGAAGACTTCCACCTTTTCCGACCTTGCTGCAGGTTCTCCATGTTTTTGTTGAGCTTTCTTTCTTCGGCTCACCGACTCTCATCAAGTCATAATTCCTTTAAGCGTTGCTTCCGACTCGTGGTCATCGTGTCGCTTAATCGAGTGGTAGCCGAGGCAAGCCGCACCTCGTCCAACTTGTCAAGGACTGGAAGCAACCTCTCTGATGGCGTCGTCACACGACGCTCCTGGGAGATGCAACATGGAAGGTCTGTTTTGGGAGAAAAAAGAGTTGAAGAACATGAGAAAACCTGCAATATAGTCAAAGTGGTTGCATGATGTTTGAAGAACGTGTCAAATCCAGTTTATGTCCATGGTCATTGCCTGTATATAATTAAATACTGTCTACCTGGCTGTGATTCACTTGTACTCCCCAAGATCAACAGGAGGAGCTTTCGGGGAGGTCGAGGCTGTTGGATTGCCCAGGTGCCTCCTCAAACTCGGTATATACGCGATGCAGTTGTGTTTGGACAATTGGAACTGAAACCCACAGAGCGATGGGGGAGAGCTTACTATCCAGTTTCGAGTTTGACTGCACCACCCCAGCGGGGAGAGCCATATACATTGTAAATCCTCCAAACAAACAGCTGCAACGCGGAAACTGTCGGCCCATTTGTTCATTTCTTGAGCAGAGATTGCAACGCACACAAAATCTCTTCTGAAGTCTTGCTGAAGACGTGTTGCCACAACATCCATTGATTCTCTTACTGCATGTCATCACTAATTTACACTCCCTGAAACACACATGGAAGTGGAAAGTGGCCCCGTGGAAGACAATCTTCCTCTGTAAACAGGACAAACACGGAGTTTCCCACTTCCATGTTTGTTCCAGGGAGGGTATGTTTTAATTGTTATAGCTGCTACTACAGGAGTTCAACTAAAGACTTACGACACTGGCTCAACCGGCTCAACCAAGCCGTTAACCAGTAGAAGCAGCCACCCAACAAACTCATACAAACTCACAGCGTTCATCCATGTTCTTTTTCGACACTACGTTGATTGATCGAGTCTTTGTATTGATCAAGGGTGAAGAGGGTTCCGCCAAACAACATGCCCAAAACCTCGCAAACCTGGAAAAGAGCGAAAACCGCAAAACCCTGACAGGAGGCATATGTCGTTAACAGTTATTTGTGTGAGTCGTGTCAGAAAGTTGCATCCAAGAAACTCACAGAACACACACAGTAACAGCAACGGTAAGCTCAACACTTGGGTGTTTTGCAAAATTTGCACTTATGTGCGGGAACACAATGCATTTCTAGGATTCTGCCAGCTGATTCCACAAGGAAAATTCCACTCTTGGAGCTCTTTCCAGAACTCCTATGAGTTAGTGCCTTGGCATTGGATCTCTAAGCGTTTCACGGGATGGATTTCTAATTACCGTGGGTGTAAAGTTTCACTTGGTCCGACTGTCGTTCACTGGTTGCGGCCCGCTGATTGCTCCACTCCATGGCCCCCCATGGCACAGAAATCGAACATCACCCAGACTTGTCCACGGGACTTGGGACTGAGCGTCTGACAGGTCGAAGAAGAATTTTATGTGAGCTACAAAAGCAATAAGACTTGCCCAAGCACGGTTGATTACAACAAGTCACATCACAACTCTTTGGCCACGATCCTGGCGGATTGGTCAAGCTGACCTGCAAGAAATGCTGACTGCAGTGCGTGTCACGGAAAACTGCTGGTTTTTTGGGGGAACGGACCTCTCTTTTTGCAGTCGTCCGTATTTGCATTATTTTGTGCTGGCTGGTCGGTGGCAGGTCACCAAACTCTGGGAAGGACTCTTGTCGCTTCATAATGCGTCATATCCCATGATCGTTCGATCGAGGTTGCGATAGGAGAAGATCTTGAGCGACGATGTCTTCACAATCACTTGCTGCATCAAATGCAGGCGATGAAGGACTGTCGCTTTGACACTTGGATTCACAGCAGGTTTCTGGGTGCCGACAACCGGCGAGAATGCAGTCATGTTTTGGATGTTTTTGGCACTGCAGAGCAGATGGGTTGGCCAGATGGGTTGGCTGCCCAATGCTGGGCTGAAACAGCAATGAATAGAATGTTCAGAAAAGAGGGGAACAAGCTGCTTCAGCCCTTCAGTTATTTGTTTGACCCACCCCCACCAGTGATTTCTCATTTACCGCATAACAGGTCATGGCTATCATTGGGGATTTGGTGATGACCGCTACTCAATGCTGGGTTGTGAATAGATTGGGTTTTGTTCCTTGTCATTCTTGAACCAGCTTTCTGAAAGCAAGAGCTCTTGCGTACTGTCACGTCTCAGAAAATGAAAGAAACCTCCGAAACTTACAACTGTAGCTGACAGGTCCACATCAAAACGAAGCCCTGTGAGGGCAATCGCCTCCCCAGTTCAATATTGAAAAGATTGCATTTGAACTTTGAACGGCCGACGCCCAGGTTTGTGACTTCTGTCGGTGCAAGATCACACAAGGATGAGCAGTCGATTTCGCGGAGTTGACCAAAGGGAGGACCCATTTGGGTCGTGGAAACAGTAGTTCCAGGAACATCCAAGGATCCTCCTCTCCTTGTACATGTGTGATCATTTATAGTAATTATATAAGTTTATGTTTATATATTTTATGATGATTCTATATTGTCATACATACATACATACATACATACATACATACATATTTATATATATATATCCCAAGGCCCTGAGGGCATTCCACGCACCTTTCAAAAAATCTTCGACACACCTCAGGAATGGACCGCAAAAGGGTTCGGGGCTGTGCTTGCACTCTGGAGGGAAAAACTCCCCGTGCAACACCTGGAGCATTAAGACGGTTTTGTCCCAGATTTCATGGAGGTTTGACAAGGGTTCACAACAACCAATGATTAACGATCGAATCCATTATACAGTAATAAGTACCATGCGTTTCTTTTTATGTACTTTGACCGCAGCAGGGGTTTGGACCTGGACGCTGGCGCTCCGAAGGTTCAAGATACAATAAACGTGCGACCGATAGCACTTTGGCGGTTGCCTGGTCCATTGAAGTTGGACAATGACAGAAGTCGAGAACCCAGACACCGAAGTGTCCTACGAAACAATCAAAAATCGGCAACCCAATCAATCAACATTGGGCCTTCCATTGAAGACTCATCAGATTGCCATCCTTCATGTTTTGTGCAGCCGATCACGAAGGTGCCATCCGCCCTTCTCACCGCATCGCCGACGGAAAAGCTGTCGCGGTGAGGAGAGATGTTTTGGTCCTGTCCCAGATGTGTTTGGGACGTGTGTGAGGCCCGAGTCTGACGTGAATCACAATCTCACGTTCACTGACATTCAGACACGGCCATGGTTTGTGGTTGGGGAAACCTGGTGGAACAATTCTGGAGGATTCTCAAGTCACTGAGTCTTCACGCAATTCGTCGACTCTTTCGATTGCCAGCGGCCTTTGGTGGGCCATGCATGATGTGAGAAGTGCCCCAGGATGTGCCCGGGATGTTGGCTTTGTGAGGACACAATCAAGCCACCAGATCCACCAGTTTAGCATGTTCGAGGGAATTTAAGATTTTGAATCGAAATAGAATCGTCAGAAGGACACCCAAATGAAAGGTTATATATCCTGCAAGATGCTTTCGTAGGAGGCTTTCGTAGAGTCCTTGATACCTTTGAGATCCTTTGAGGCATGTTACGCAAGAGGAGCACGATTCAAATCAGGCGCGGATGATAGAAAATGTGCTTCGTGTCCTGGTTTGGTTTCGAACAAAACGATAAACACTCGAGAAAATGATTTTTTAAAAAGGCTGACCCAGCGACCATTTTCAGATCGACTGCTTGGGCTTGCGGCATGTTTCTTCGTGTTGAATCCTTTATTTAACCGTTTGTTACTGGTTTATACCTTTTTTACTCCATTTTATCCTAACGTCAATGTCTCATTGAAGTTGGAGATGTACATTGAAGTTGGTTTACTGATGTTCACAGTATAGATCTGGGATGGCCCGGGGCTCCTTTGCGGATCCATGGGGTCACAGCCAACTGAGTGTGAAGAATCGGTTTTTCATGTGTTCCTTGCCTGTGGGGCCGGGAGGGCATGCGCGGGCA